CCCACTCCCACTCCCACTCCTCCCTCTCCCACTCACTCCCTCCTCTCCCACTCCCACTCCCATCCCACTCCCATTCCCACTCCCTCCCTCCCTCCCTCCCTCCCTCCTCTCTCCCACCCCTATATCGGAAGATTTCTGTCAAGATTCACCGAATTCATTTCCTAATTCCCAGTCTCTCCTCTCCCATTCCCACTCCTCTCCCCCTCCTCCTCCCCCCCCTCTACGGAACATTTCAGTAAGATTCAGCGAATTCATTTCCTAATTCCAGTCTCTCCCTCTCCATTCCCACTCCCACTCCCATCCCACTCCTCCCTTCCCATTCCCTCTCCCTCTCCTCTCCCACTCTCTCCCACTCCCTCCTCCCCTCTCCCACTCCCTCCCCACCCCTATATCGGGAACATTTCCGTCAAGATTCACCGAATTCATTTCCTAATTCCAGTCTCTCCCTCTCCATTCCCACTCCCTCCCTCTCCCACTCCTCCCTCCCTCCCTCCCACCCCTATATCGGAACACTTCAGTCAAGATTCAGCGAATTCATTTCCTAATTCCCAGTCTCTCCCTCTCCCATTCCCACTCCCACTCCCCTCCCTCCTCCCTCCCTCCCTCTATCCCTATATCAGAACATTCATGTCAAGATTCAGCGAATTCATTTCCTAATTCCCAGTCTCTCCCTCTCCCATTCCCACTCCTCTCCCACTCCTCCCTCCCTCCCTCCCACCCTATATCGGAACATTTCAGTCAAGATTCACCGAATTCATTTCCTAATTCCCAGTCTCTCCTCTCCCATTCCCTCCCTCCCTCTCCCCACTCCCACTCCCTCCCTCCCTCTCCCCCCTCCCCTCTTATATCAGAACATTTCAGTCAAGATTCAGCGAATTCATTTCCTAATTCCCAGTCTCTCCCTCTCCCATTCCGCTCCCTCCCTCTCTCTCTCCCCCCCCTATATCGGAACACTTCAGTCAAGATTCACCGAATTCATTTCCTAATTCCCAGTCTCTCCCTCTCCCATTCCCTCCCTCCCTCTCCCACTCCCACTCCCTCCCTCCCTCTCCTCCCTCTATCCCTATATCAGAACATTCATGTCAAGATTCAGCGAATTCATTTCCTGATTCCCAGTCCAGGTTTCGAGTCGCTGCACGAGTTTGAAGTGAAAATCAATCCTTCGCTCACGACATCTGTTTGGAAATGCATTTTTTAACACCTGTTCGCTGGTCAATCTTGGGCGCGTTTTGGTCCATTTTCTCTTGGTTCGCGTTGTGGGTTTTTTGGTCTATTTTTTTGTTTAAAGAATCACAGAATTTTTTTTAGGAATATTTATTTTAATGTATACAATTGATTATGAGTTTGACACTGAGGATTGTGTAACAACAGATTCGGATTTTGGGTTGGAATATATTTCAAAATCGGATTCATCTAAACAAAATAAAAAAATTGTTCCACAAGGTAATAAAAATGTTGTTCAGATCAGATTCACACTTTATTACAGGCAAAAAAAAAAAGGAAAGAAAAGAAAATACTATACATGTACGCTCAGTCGCTCATACAAATAACTAAAAAAATGTTTATGAAAATCACAGGTCCGTCCTTTGGTGAGGTCGCCCTCAGAGCTGCTCGTCCTTCCGAGGACAGCGTGAGGTGGTACTGCTCCGTCTCCTCGGCCGAGTCCTCCGTCGAGTCCAGCGGGTAGAACTCGGCCGCCTCCGTCGCCAGGGACAGCCGCTCCATGGGGTTAGAGCGCGGCGTCCAGCCCCAGGGGGCGCCGCCGCGGGGGACTCGAGCCCACCGGGGACTGCGGGGCGTCGGGCTGCGTCTCCGCGGGCGGCGAGGGCGGCGACCGGCTCTGCGTGGGCGGCTGGGGTTGAGGGAGGGCTGCTGGGGCGCCGGGGGGATGGGCGGGGGGGGGCGGCGGGGCGGCGGCGGAGGGTGGTGGTTGATGGTGGTGGTGCTGGCCGGGCTGGTGGTGGAGGGGTGGGCGTGGATGCTGTGCTCCAGGATGTTGTGGTCGTTGTAGGAGTTGAGGTTGTGGACGAGGTGGTGCGGGATGTGGAGCTGGTTGGTAGTGGAGGTGGTGGTGGTGGTGAGGCAGGTAGTGGTAGTGGTGGTGGTGTGCTTCGGAGGGCGAGGGCGTGCTCCGTCGTGTCCGGCGAGCCGCTGCTGCTGCTGGCGGCGCTGGGCGTGTGCGGCGTCTGCGGCGTGTTGCTGGGGGCGGTGGGCGTGGGCGGACACAGGTCGTTGTTGTTCATGGAGGAGTGGATGTGGTCGCCGACGTCGCCGCCGTGGTCCAGGTCGGGCGTCGGGGCGGCGTCGGCGGCGAGTGCAGCGCCGACAGCTCCGCCTCCAGCTGGCTCGGCAGCTTGATCCCGGCCACGCCCTTCTTCGGGATGGAGCTCAGGTCGCGCTTGATGCGGCGCCGGCGGCTCGGGTCGTTGCGCCGCAGCTGGATCATGCGGTCGAAGTCGATGATGTAGAGGAAGCCCGCCACCAGGACCTCGCACGCGCGCTGGCGCTGCCGTACGCGCCTCCAGCTCGTGGCTCGTGCGCTCGTCGTACTGCCACCAGCCTGCGGGGACACGAGCTCAGCGGGTTGCGGGGCGGGGGGGGGGGTTAGGGAGGGCGTCAGCCGGAAGCAGACACGGGGGAGGGGGAGGGGGACAGGGGGTAGGCCCTATTTTTCTAAAGTTATAAAATAGAAGAGTGTGAACTATCTAATAAACGCTACCACTAATAATAAAGGTATATAATAAAGAATAATGGCAAAAACAACATCAATAATAATAATAATAATATTAATATATAATAAATAAATAATAATAATAATATAATAATAATAATAATAATAATAATAATAATAATAATAATAATAATAATAATAATAATAGTAATGACAATAATAACAATTAAACAATTACAATAATAACATTAACAATAATAGTAAAAATCATAATGTGGCATACAAAAGCATGAACTAAGAATCTGTGACTCAATGAATACTGAAAAGAAAAAAAAAAAGATTTGCATGTGCCAAAAAAAAAAAAAAAAAAAAAAAAAGAGCTAATCTTACGCACAAAAAAAATCTACGTCATGATCAATCTCGCTGGACACACATACACTTATCATAAATATCAAACTATACTCTCATTCCTCTTTCGTTCTGTTTGAATAAGTACAAATGTTCATCAAAAACAAATTGTTAGGAGACTTGTATAAAACATTCAACGATGTTTTTACGACCCTTTTGGATGATAAAAAAGGGTTAGAATCACAAGAAATATATTCAAATGTTTTTATAGTATGTAGTATGAAGAGGTCATTTTATAGTATGTAGTATGAACAGGCCATGTAAATATGTCATAATAATTAAGTTAAATCCTTCTCTAACATAATGCTATCATTAATATATTTTACAATATATATTCTATCAATGTCCTCATCATTAATAACATATACGCATATGTAATATATCTAATGCAAATAAGGAACGTCAAAAATGACCATAACAAAAAGACAAAAAGAGGGCCCCTTGACGTTTACATAAATAATGGAGAAAATGTGTGGGGTGCAATATTTTCATACCGTAATGGAAAGAACAAACCTTGTAAATAGTTTATGGAAAATTACTTGTAGTTACACACACGCTTTGCAATTTATCATACCTTTATCAATCTTACTGAATTTGAAGTGCCTTTTGTTGGCATTACTTTAATTTGTTGTATATTGTAGGGCATAAATGCCTAATTTAATAAAAATAAATTATCTCCTGTTATTTTGTATATAATGTAGCCTCTAGTATCAAAATACCTTGTATGTCTTTCTTCTAATTGTTGCAGACTATACGATGTCACCACTAATTTTCTTTTAAAAATTATATAAATAAAAAAAAAAAAACTAAGCAATTTATCAACCATCCTTTGCAAAAGTGTTTTTTTTTCTCCTTCGATAATCAAAAATTCTCAGACTATACCTAAACAAAGGATAAAAAGAAAAATCTGAATCAAAATTTCTGAAACGTCTCAACAGAAACTCGTTTTATTCATTTAACATAAACGAAAGCTGCATCAAATTACACTCTCCGATTCCCTTACTTCTACGTATTGTCTTCCTTCCTCTCTCCTTTAACAGTAAATTATTCATCTTCCCGGCTTACATTTTTCTCAACTCATGAGCATTATATCAATATCTTCCCAACACTGGAGAGAGAAAATAACAACAAATATATTCACTAACCTCTAAAGAAAAAAAATATATATATGACAACTTATATAAATATACACAGGTCAATTTCTTAGATGTAACTAGGAGGGGGGGAAAGGCAATGCCGTGCCTATCTTAGCTGAAATTACATCATAAGGCCACAAGATGCTTATACTGAAATGAATGCATTGGTCGACTACCTTATTACACAATCCAACGCCGATGTAAGCGCAAGATTCCTTTTTATTCTGTCTTTTTGAAAATCCAATGAAATGCAACATTAGTATATATCACTTCTTATTTACAAATCACATCAATAAAATTTCTTTGTCTTTCTATACATCCTTTACGAAATTTTCTTGTTATAAACAGGTTTATATAAAAAAATAATCATAAATCTTAGATAATAAATTTCATATTTAAAAGAAAAGCAAGATAAAAGGTGAAACATACCTTTACCTTAAGCATTATTTGCCAGAATAATAAAAAAATTTACCTTTAAATGCTACAGCAAAATCAAACTTGGGTAAAACAAGACTTAAGTAAACAAGAACAACTGAACTAAAACTTAAAATGTACCTAGTAAAATAAAAATCATCAATAGAAAATATACATACACAAAATTCTTTATCATTAACCCTTTGTACACGTAATGTCCGCTGCAGTTCCCTTGGGTGTAAATTTTGTTGCAAACAGCCACCAAGGAGTCAATAATTAGCCCAATCTGACCTAGCCATATTCCTCCATTCCATAAATTTTCAGGGAAAAATACAGTTGTCTTTTCTAATGCTATTAATATAAATATTGCCATTATTAATATAATTAACAATGTGATTATGATCGTGAAAATACTAACAGCAAAAGAAAACAAAAAAGAATATTTCTGAAAATCAAGGAAAGGGGTATACGGGTGAGATAAGTAGGGCCAGTAATCAAATCCTTCATGACTAAGTACTTGTGGAGCCATTATGTAAAAACACAATTAATAAACTAATATCACAGAGGACATGGCATGTGAGTCCTGCCATCTCAGCACAAAGGATTAAAGAAGCTGGCAATTTATGTATTTTGCAAGTTAGCTCCTTCGGGTATTTGTACATTCTATCAATACATACGAAAATGTTCTTCAATCTCTCGGGCAAACAGAAAACCAGACACGAAAAAAAGATGCACCAAAATAGTTGAATTCTATATTGATAATTCAGCTGTTTATTACCATTATTTGAAAGCTTATGGGTTAAAATTTGGCCATTTTATAACTCTGTAGACTAGTACTTTGAAACTTCTAGGTTGAAATTTTAGTTATTCTACAATTTCTACGGCAAAATCACTGGGTGAATGTGTGGACTAATCAAACATGTCTGCTAATATCAAATGATCATAAAAAGAGCAGAAAGATTTTTACTTTATTGAGGTTTACACATTGCAATGACAGAATATGAACTTTTATGAGGTTACAGCAAACCAGTAAAAATCTAATCCACTGTGCTTATCTGTTTTTACTTCTAATGCATATCAAATCTGGTCTTACTGTAGGTATCCACACATAAATAAAATGAATGCAATTCACTGCATCTGATTTTCATTAAAAGTGTTAGATTACTGATCTCCAATATATATGCTAAAACTATTAAATTCTTCACTTTTTTTCTTAAAAATATAATAAACAAAAAATTCCTTAAGATACACATACATATATTCAACCTTAAAATAAGAACATCATAAACCACGATGGCTTTTCTTTCTTAGTTTTCCTTATTTTCTTTTTTCCTTTGTGAACTTCTACTTATCTGTCATCTATTTACTCCTTGTCAGGGTATGCTAAAGCCAGTGTGGTTTCATATGATCTAATCTTTGTCATCACTTTTCCTCTTGCGACCCCTGCTACGTCCACGCCCGCCCTGGCCCCTGAACAGCTTGGTCGATAGACCCGCTGTGCCCTTGGCCGAGGAGGACACCACATCCCGCTTGATGCGTCTGCGCAGGCCGGGACAGTCTGCACGGGCTTGTTTCATGTTGGTTAGGTCAATGTCATAGTTGTACCCAGCTATGAGGAGGGTGAGCGACGTTTCCCCTTGCGCATAAGCCTCCTCTATATCAGTATTTGTGCGTTCATCATAGCGCCACCACCCTGCGGGACAGCAGGCACACTCTCAGTTTACTTTGGGGCTCTGCATGAGCTACTTCGAGCTGGCACTTGCACTCACAAATTGCAGCTCCTTTATTTTGGAGATTTTATTTCATACACCATTAGGGGACACATGTGAGAAATTAAGGGATAGGCAAGTAAAGGGGGGGGGAATCAGAAAAGAATCAAATAATTACCAGATGTCTCAAAATTACCTCACTAACACATGCATAAGGGTGCAAATACACTAATATACATAAAACCTATACCTACCTACCTATATAGCTGCATACATACATACATACAAATATACATACATACATACAAATATACATACATACAAATATACATACATGCAAATATATACATACAAATATACATACATACAAAATAATACATACAAAATACATATATACAACATACATACATAAATACACACACACACACACACACACACACACACACACACACACACACACACACACACACACACACACACACACCACACACACACACACACACACACACATATCACACGCACACACACGCGTCACACACACGCACGCACACACACGCGTCACACACACGCACACACACATACATTACACACACACATCACACACACACATCTCACACACACACACACACATGCACGCACACACACACTCACTCGCCCGCACACATACACACACACACACACACACACACACACACACACACACACACACACACACACACACACACACACACACACACACACACACACACACATCACACATCACACACACACACACACACACACACACACACACACACCACACACACACACACACACACACACACACACACACACACACACACACACACGAATACATATCATAATCATCCAAAGCATAAAAAAACAATATCAACAATCACTCCATAAGGAAATGGTAATAATAACAATAATACAAGACAGCCAACACGTCATTTGTTATACTTAGTGAAAATTCCCCGGACGCCCCTTTCCACAAACAAATATTTCCCTGTGCAAAGACAATTGTTCTTGAGAATCCATACAAACTATAGAATATAATGTATATGATTTTATAATACTTGTGTATGACTTTTCATGTTTTATAATGGTTTAAATTCCTTTACTGGCACAACGCATTCCATTTTTCTCTTTTTTTTTCCTTTTTCTTTTTCTACTTAGATGTGGAATGAGAAGTAACTTTCCATACAAAAATATTCCCTAACATATTTTTAAAATATAGGCATAATGTATATCTCTATAATGACGCTAATCAGAATAGCAGCTAAGGCAATTCATAGAGAAATGAAGACACTACCGGAGTCCTAGGGTATCTTTAAATCTATGACAGAGTACAACAATGCAATCTTCCCATAGATATCTTTCAAATGTCATTATGGATCACTCATTAAATTATAGGAAAAAGAGCAAACAGAAAAAAAAAAAAAAAAATCCTGCCTGCATTCTGCTTTACCGTCTACAAATATTAATGACAAACTAACAGGCTCAGAATTCCGCATATAAAGGATATATACACTGTATATAATGTATACGCATCTGTGTGTGTGCACGTCCATGTCGACATGTATAAGCAAGTGTGTCATTTCATGCATAATTGTGTACGCATGCATGTATGTGACTGTGAAACTTATGAATATGAAACTTATGATTACGAAAGTATGCGAGCTTATACAGGGAGAGCATTGATATAAATGCTAATACTAGAGAGGCAAAACTGAAGCTATAATATAAACAGAGAGTAACTGAAAGTCGCAAATTATAATATGCAATCAAAAACCATACTACATAAAGAGAACAATCCTCTAAAAACCAAAGAAATTAAATATCATGTTTCTACCTAACAAATTAAAAGACAGCATATCTGCTTTTCGAGCAGAGGAAGACAGGGTGGAAAGGGAGAGGAGGGAGGGAGGGAGGGAGGGAGGGAGGAGGGAGGGAGGGAGGGAGGGAGGAGGGAGGGAGGGAGAGAAGAGAGAAGAAGAGAGAAGGAGAGAGAAGGGAGAGAGGAGAGGGAGGAGGGAGGAGGGAGGGAGGAGGGAGAGGAGGGAGGAGGGAGGGAGGGAGGGAGGGAGGGAGAGAAGGGAGAGAAGGAGAGAGAAGGAGAGAGAAGGAGAGAGAGGAGGAGAGGAGAGAAGGAGAGAGAAGGAGAGAGAAGGGAGAGATGGAGGAGACAAGGGGAGAGAAGGGGAGAGAAGGGAAGAGAGGGAGGGATGGATGGATTGAGAGAACAAAAGAAGAAAAAGAGAAAAAAAAAGAGCTGAAAAGAAAAAAGACTACGAGAGAAACAGAGAGAAAGTTCTTTCAAAACGTACCATTTCGTCCTTCATAAAACCACTGGTAGCCTCCCGGCAGGACCTCTTCCTTCTCCGCCTCTATGGAGGAGAGCAGAGTTGGGTGGTCGAGGAAATCGGCCGGGATCTCTTGCCTACACATTGCACACGCTTGCTTTGGTTTGCCACACCCTAGAAGGAAGGCAATAAATCAGTAAATGATATAATATAAAAGGAAATAATTATTTTTCCTACCTTCATAAATGAAAAGTTCAAGTCAAATGTCATCAACAAATGGGATGAGAGAAACAGAATATAAAATGTTACTGCATAATAATAGTAATGATAATAATAGAAATATATCATAACAATAACAATAAAAAAATCTATATAAAATAGCAATAAAAAATATATAACAATAATAATAGTAAAATAACAAAAACAAAACAACAAATAATCTTACCTTTACACACAGGAAACAAAATATGTGCGAACAAGGCAGGCGCACGGGATGTACACATTTCTGGAGACAACTGCGCATTCAAGTTCTTCTTCGTCATCTCTCTTCTGGGGTGGAACTGGGGTTTGTTGTGGGCTCTCTTTTTCTGCTGAAATATAGAAAAGATGATAAATGCAAGCCTGCTCATATCTGGTATCAACTGTAATCTGATTTTAGGTATCGGTCAGTTAGCAGTCATCTTTGTTACCCTTTTTGTCGAGAAGCATACGTCTAGTTTAGATGTCTCTAATGTTATCCAATCTCTGACTGTATGTCGTTACCAATAAGGCTTTGATAAAACATTTCTGATAAAATCTATTCATCTTTTATAATTTTGGGGGGTTAAAATGGTTTTAGACAACATAAAAAAAACTCAACCAGATTTTACTTTTAATAATATCTATTCTCTCCTAAATCTAAATGTTACTTTTTGATCATATCAGAAAAATACAAATAAAATAAACATATTAAAAATTCCTTGTCTAAAAGAAAAAAAATGCTAACACTACAGTCTTGTACATACACACAGTAACATAATAGACCAATAAATATAATAAAGCAGCCATAGCCTCCTTATGTCACTGCTCTGACAAGTGCAATAAATTCAAAAACTGTACACACTATAGTTATGACATAATGATGAAAAGCATCCCATTTTCAACTGTTTTATTCACTTCATATAATAGTCAACTTCACAAGCAATCATTCAGATTTAGAACTGCACCAGGTAGGTCAAATGTTGAGGATTTCATGCTTCATGCTTCTGATCATAGTCGCCATGATTACGTAGCGCCTGTCAAAAACTGGATTTCATTTTCCTGCAACTTCTTCGTTCTTAATGATACAGCTATATCCACTTCTATATTTGACAAATTTCCTCCCGCCATAACCACAACACCATTCTTAAAAGTTATTACACACATTATTTTCTAAATCAAAGTGGTCATCTGAATGTTCTCTTCAAATGTTCCATCAATATTTCTTTATCTCTGTGAAGCCTTAATCTGCGTAAGTACCCTTCCTCATTTTCATTTTTTGAACAATGAAAGAAAAATGCTCAAAATTCATTTATTCTGCATGTATATTCAACAACCATAATCATACTCAGACCACAATAATAATTTTATCACAGAAATTTTTTTGTTTATTTTAACCAATAGTAGCCTCCATGCCTTTGGTACTCCGTCAAAGGTCAACAAAGCTCCTCAAGAATATATAGGACGCCTGAACTTGCAGAGCCTTGTAGCAATTCACCCTCAAATAACCATAAAAACACCACTAAAAGCACTATCTTGCCCAAATATCCATGGTGAAGGGTTGTTGTCCTTTGCTGGACCACCAAAGGCACAGAGGCCCCTGCAACTGCTTGACACTGACTCAATATACCTGGTCGTGCTTGAAATTCATGTAATTTAGACAGAACACCGCCAATAAAATTTTAAGAAGGAAAAAAAGAGATACCGCAAGGTCCTGGAAAATTTTACCTTCACTCCAAATTTATTCAATATGATAAATCTTGGCTTCACATGCACACACAGGCTTCAGTTTTAACAAGTATGAACCACCGACATTGTAAATGAATAAAATTACATTTTCTTCCTCATCTATAAAATTTTACATCAACGACCAGCTCTCTAATTCCTTTGTTTATTTAGCACAGACATAAATTAGAATGCAAGAAACAAAAAGGGAGATTAATTCATATCCCTTCTCGACAGCACTTGAAACAACCACAAAAGAAACAAAAAACAACTGACAAGCTCCAAAACCCGACCAAAAACGTCGACGAAACTAAAATATGCAAATAAAACCCATTTTTTCAAATAAGGAACCGATATATATTCACCTTCACTCTCCTCCTTCTCTTCCGCTGCCACATTATCTTTACTCGTCGCCTCGGCCATCCCTCCCTGCTCTCCCTAAGGCAGTTCACCCTTGGAATTCCTTTTAAAACTGAGACACGGTCCTACGAGGCGAGGGAGCAAGTGCGTACTGTCTCTCTTGTCTCGACGTGTTTCCTTGTGTTTTCGGAGGGACCTTCACGTTCATTCATGAAAACAAGGGAGCCTGGTGAATGGGATCGGCCTTTCAGGAATTTATAGGTAAAGGGAACTGGATTTTATTCGAGTAGGTTCCGATTTCTCTAGAGGCGATTGGGTTTTGTTTTGAGGATTCGATTCTCTTTGTTGGGGGTTGGATCGTATTAGAGGGGATTCGAGAGTTTTAAAGGAGGTTTTGGGATTGGATAAGGTGTTTGGGTTGGCGTAAAAGTATTGAATTAAATATATTCACTGTTTTTTGGTAGAGGAGAAAGTCATTCGATTTTCAACAAAAGGTTTGTGATGTCTGTTGCATGTAGTTGACATCTTGGAATATTTGCCGAGACATTGTTGATTATGGAATTTGTATCAAATTGATGAATTAAAAGGTATTGACAAATACACCAGTATTCATAAATCTACTTTGTCGATCCATGTGACTTTATACATTTTCTATATAGCATTTCACTGAATAATTATTTGTATATATAAATATTATATCTATATATAAAAATATTCATTCATTCATACACATAACATATATATATACATACATACATATATATACGCATGCACACACAAACACACACACACACACACACACACTACACCACAACAACACACACACACACACACACACACACACACCACACACACACACACACACACACACACACACACACACACACACACATACAGATATGTGTGTAAAGGGCTGGATTAAGGCCTGGTACTATCATAAAGCACGAACCCATCAGTAATGTCCTTCCTTTCCTGTCAATGGTGTCCCTTTAGCCCTTCCAGTGGTGTCCTTCGACTCCTCTGGCGGTGGTCTCATTGACCTTTCTAACGGTGTCCTTCCTGCCCTTCTTGTGGCCTCTTTCAGTCTTTCCAAAGGTGCCTCTTGTCCTTCCTATAGTGCTTTACTAAGACCTTCAAGCAGTATCCCTTTGGTGTATCTTAGATGTCAGGGAAAGCGGAATGGACAGCGGGCACATAAAACCGAAAACTGATTAATATATAGAGAGCAAACAATAAGAAATATGTAATTATTTTCACTATTAGTTTCGTGCACGTATGCGTACGTGTCTGTGATTATTTATTATTTTTGTTTTCTTATACCTAGTTGTTTCTCCATCAAAGTATCACATCGAACGCCACCTCATAAACAAAATCAACAAAAGCCTTCCGTATAACACATAAAAAAGGGGGAACATAAGTAGGAGGAGATGGACATCGGCAGTTACTTTGAATGTAGAAATAATGGAGCAGATGAGTGTAGGCATGTTATTTTGGGTCATGTTTAGGTAGTTTCGAATGTCCTCGAGAATTTCCGTGTCGAGTTGGTTGGGGAGGTCTGAGAAACCTCTTATGAAGCGGAGGAGAGGGATAGGGCAGTGAGAGAGGCTGATGTAGGAGAGGATGCAGTAGAAGATGAGTGGAACGGTTAGCTTGTCCTGTACGATGAGTTGAGCGAGGAGCAAGAGGAGCGAGGTACCGGAGAAGTAGAGACTGGAGTGTCTGGAATAATGGTGGAGATTGGGGTGTCTGGATTTAGAATGGCAAAAGAAATTGACTGGGAGATAGATTGGGGGGGGGTAGAAGTGGGATGAGAAGAGATACCGAGGGAGGTGTAAAACATCTTGTAAGAGAAAAAAAAAACTTGTCTGCGTACTTCCTGTCTGACTTCACGAAAGTGAAGACAAGTTAGAATCTGAGACTTGCCACATCAGACTCAAACTTGTAGAAAGGGCAGCCCCTATGGTTGATATGGTCGGACAGGGAGAGAGAGAGAAGGAAGAGAGAGAGAGAGAGAAGAGAGAGAGAGAGAGAGAGAGAGAGAGAGAAGAGAGAGAGAGAGAGAGAGAGAGAGAGAGAGAGAGAGAGAGACTCATTAAGGGGGGTCATGTCTGCGGAAAATAATCTTGGCAATATTGGTGGATGACTTACGGCGGCCACTAGGGAATGGTGTAGCAGTGTGGAGCAAGTCTTCTCCACAGTCTGACCGGTCCTTGTCGCAGATAGGGTAATCCGCCGGGAAGATGGAGACAGGTCACGTGCAAGTACTGAGGGAGAGATGAGGCTGGTATGATTGGATTTGCTAATGAAATCCATCAGAGTAGATAATGCTTTAGCTTGACAAGGAGGAGTGATCGGGGAAGGAAACTTGTCCTACTTGTTTTTGGAGGCATTGCTGGAACAGGAGAGTGTTGTCAGAGTAAGGGGCTGTGGAGAGGATCACGGAAAATCCATCCGTTTGCTGGGCTAAACAGAGTATCCCAAAGATTTGTAGAGGTGGGGTAGTAGAAGGACGGGACGTGCGAAGAGGGAGTAGTATTAAGAGAAGTAGTACTGCAGAGACTTTGACAATAAGCCTGCAGAGTAGTGAAAAGGGAGGAGGGAGTACTAGATGAAGAAAGCTGTGGGGTGGAGGAGATAAAGTAAAGGATGTTGGGAGAAGGGGATTGCTTTCTTGAGGCTGAGTAATGACCTGGTTGGATGGTCTGGACTGGACTGAGGTGATGTTAAACATTGATGAGTGGGTAAAAGTAGCAGTGTTCAGAGTCGTGGTTAAAGCAGAGCCTGAATTTAGATCTGTAGTTGATAAAGGGGCAAGCCTCAGTACCACAAATAAGTGTGCAAAATCGTCATTACTGGCCATGGCAAACCTGTAGTATGTGAGGAAGAGAAACAGTCGGGTGGGCTGTTTCTCTTCCTTCAGGGTCCCACTGAGGGGTAAGGGATAGACAACTAAACAGGGTAATACCGACTCCCCCTGGCCGTTCACACCTGGCACAAATCAGCCGTTCACCCTTTCAACACGGCTCTCACACTCTGGGAAGTGGACAGTAGAAGGGGCTGGAGAGAAGAGGGAAACGACAAGGGGAAGAAATGATATCAGAAAATTAGTTTAAGTCTAGGGAAAGAGGCCCAAGGCAGGGGTGATCCCCACCATTGGGTCCCCGTCTCCGTCTCCTTACCC